GAAGGGTGCAACAATGAATGAATGGAATCCCAAAATCTCTGTAGATGTTCATTGAAATGAAAAATAACCTAAATTAAAAAAAAAAAAAATAAGGTAACTAAGAGAGACATAGTTGACTTGATGGCACCTAACCACCACCACCTGCTCTTTGGAAAAAGATGTGACTGTTTGTGTAAAGATGGGGGTGGTCAGGCATTTGAGCAGACCATGACTCACAGCGACTATGAACAGATCTGGATCCTGCCCTATCTCACACCAGCCTCATGATCTCCGACATGCTCTAGCCCATTGTTAGTCACTGTCCATCCCTTTGGTATTTCTCTGCCCCCCTCCCCCTTTCCCAGTGTAATACCTTTTTCCAAGGACTGACCCCTCCGTTCAAAGTGTGTGAGGTGAAGTTTCATGCTCCTTGGCTCTAAGGAGCCCCCCTAGCTGCAGTACTTCCAAGACAGGCTTGTTTGTTCTTTTGGCAGTCCTTGGGACACTCCATACTCTTCTCCAATAGAATTCAAATGCACTGAATATTCTTCTGTTAAGATTACAGCCTCTGAAATCCTACGGGGCAGTTTTAACAACTTATAGGAACCGTTTCCTGTAATGCATTTGAACTCGGTATCTGCAAACGGAAAGGTCAGCAGTTGGAATCTAAGTGACAGGTCACTAGAGAAAGATGGACAGTACAGTCTCCTGCTGTTAGAGCTACAGGAAGATGAAAAAACCCAGTGGAGGGCAGCCAGTTTTTAGGAATTGAACTGAGTGCAGTAGCCAAACTAGGATGGCTTCTATAGGATGGTTGAGTGAGAACATTTGATTTCAAGAGGCTATCATCCCCATCTGATCTCCACCCCTATCAAGGAGAAAAGCGAAATTCTGAGAATTTACATAACTTGTTCATATAATTAAAAAGAGATAAAGATGGCATTTCAACCTAGAGAACCTGGAGGCCTTGCTATTAATTCTAGTGTAAGGGCCAAAGCAGATGTCCAATTAACATTGTGTAGTGTGTGAAGCTACAATACCCTTGTCATGAAGACTGGAAGCCTAGGAGGTGGAGGGAGGCATCAGGACTTCAGCAACAGGACAGAAGGAGGTGAACAGAACAGTATCCCAGCATCCTGCTCCACCTGAGGGCGGCCAGAAACACAACTGGTTTGCTGGGCCTCACCATCTCTGAAGAGGCAGGCCTGGGATTCCGTGGTGATATCCCATCAAAAAGCAAGAAAGTCTCCCAAAGGGCCCATGATGATCCAGACTTCACTAGAAAACTCAAATTGAGTCTAATCAGCTTCTCGCACTATATTCTTCTTGAAGTAGAGTTTGTTCTCCTGAGTATAAATGTTTTGATGATAACCTACCAGTATCAATCCTAGTTCAGTATTCAAATTATCTGACATTTTAGGGACTGACCATAAATTTCAAGCGTGCATTAAACTATAAAGACTCTTATGGAAATACGTTAAGTCACTTGAAACATTCTGGAAGAGTTTAGTCAAGAAACATTATTAACGGTATCATAAATAAGTATTATAACTTTATTAAAATGAAAAGACAATATTCAAAATAATGCAACAAAATGAATAAAATCCTTTGTCCAATACTGTACACACAATGCAGAAATCAGTGCATTTTTCTAAAGCATGTTTTAACCTTCATTTAGTTTGTACTAAAATATAATAAGCTTTAAATAGCTCAAATTATCATTCAGCAGTTTAAACTGTAAACAGCTTGTTGAACTGTTAAAGAGAACATTGTAGTAATGTACCTCCATTAGTGAGCACCTCTCTTTTGTGCTTATCTATATAAGATAAATACATTAAAGCATATGAAAATATGAACACAAGCTAAGTGTCTCACTGAATCTAAGGGAAGCAGTGAAGCAGCCACCTGGGAGAGGTTTAAAAGCGGGAAGATGCTGATGTGACCTCTGGTATTAAGACATACTGTGCTATTATTGGTCAGAAGAAGTGTTTTACTTAAAAAGCAAACAATCCCCAGAAAATACTGAATAGGAACCAGCAACACAAGGCCAGCTTGTGTTGTATTTGTTTATTAATACAGTCTAAAAAAAGACAAAAATGAAAAAATAAAAACAAAACCCAACCAACTCCACAACACACATCCCCACACAAAAACTCAATCACAGAGTTAATTGCTTCATTTTTGTTTAAAACGGACCCCTTCCACACTGGCAACTAATCTGCTTCTCTTGTCAAGTGTAGTGTACCCCACTTTCTCTGTAAGGCACAGCTGCCATGGGCCATTTGAGTGGGTGAGATAAAGCAGGAATTTTAAGGAAAAAATTTACTAATTCCATTTGCCTTTTCCAGAATGTGAGTGCAACATGTACCAGATGGCCAAATAAGCCGCTATCCCCACCCATCAATGTAGACAAAACACACAACCTGGAAGTACTAGACCTTTGGCAGATTTTTCAACTTGGTAGGTACAGTCGTGATAAAGAATGGCCACTCTGCCATGCATGGGACAGACTGTGTACAACAAATAAGTGAAGCAAAACGTAATGGACCTGGAAACCAGAAATCTTCAAACTCACTAAACAAAAATAATTTTTTTTTAACGATTCTGATTGAAACAATACTGTATTCCTTTTGCTCAATTTTCAGTCTATCAAGAGTCATTTCTCCAGCTTGAGTTTTTATTATTCTGAATATATATTACTCTAAGATAGTAACTAATTGGTTAACCTGCAACTATGGTCTACGGTTATACCACAAGTTTATATATCGGTATAATAATGTATGCATATATAAAAGTTTCCCCAGCCCTCCCTCCCCACCATCACATCTTTAAATTATAGACTTGAAGAGACTTCTCCAACATTAACAAAATCAGAGATTCTCAACATGACAGCACCTCACACCTGCTCAAAACCTCTTTTAAGACCGAGAGTTCAGCTCTTCTGTAATAGGAAATATTTTTCCATGAGCCTCTATCAGATTGGAATATTGCTTCAAACCATTTGCTCCTATATAACGTCTCTGAATCATGACATCCCAGAGTTTAAGGAGACACCACATAGGATAAATGTTTGCGCTTCACATGGCCACCAATGTCCAGCTTTGTTTTTGAGTCCAGTTTTTCAGTGGCCGGAACAAAACTGCAGTCAGCAGAGAGGGGCTGGATCGGGCTGCTTGTGCCTGTTTCTTCTGCTTCCCTAAAAAATTTTTCATATTTGTCCAGGTATGGTGGTCTCTCAGGTAGTAGATAATAATGCGTTGAGCTAACCTTCTTCCCATTTTCGATAATGGGCAGAATGCAAGGAACTTTATTGGCAGATCCTTCACTGTTCTGTCTTTGCAGAGCTTTGCTGCTGACGTACTTGGGATCAGGGGCAAAGCTCTGCGTAGGGGGCATGACCCCATTGAGGTAAGATGGAAGGCTTTTAGGACTTGGTGTGCGGGAGTTACTCCGGGATAAAGGTTCTCTTGGTGGCACTTTGGGAGGTCTGTCTTCATCACTGTAGGTACTGGAGGTGACTTCTGCTGACCACCTTCTATAGTCTGGCTTGACTGGCCTAGGAGGTATGGGAACCCTGGGCGGAACTTCAGGCTTGTCTTCATCAGAGTTGGGAGACGCTCTGTGTAGATAACTGGATATTTTAATGGCTGGCTTGTTAAAAGACCCAGCTGGTCCTGAATGAGATCTTCTTAGTCTTCGATGGCACTGAGATGGAGGGGGATTTGCATTTTGGACACATCCATTTTGTTCGGAGGCGAGGTTAAGATTTTCAGCTGTTGAAACAGCCGGGGTGTCAAAATATGCGTAATTGATCTGCCCACATCCACGGAAGCTGCGCCTGCCTGGAACCCCGTATCTGAAATCAGAAAGTGAACAATCGTCTAACAGAAAGTCTGTGTCAGAGCTGGTTAGGAATTCTACCTCACAGTCAGTCTCGTCGAGAGAGAGGTCTTCAGAGATTGGCAGTGGGGGAAGGGGCCTGGAACCCCGCTCACAAAGCGCTCCAGAGGAGAAAAGGGAAGGTGAGTTTTTTATGGGTGTAAGTGGCGGAGTTGAAGCAAAAACTCCATTTACTGACAGTTTCTTGAAACCACACACAACATGGTCCTCTTCATGTTGACCCAAGGTTTCAGTTTGGGGGATGATAAGAGGTGGCAAGCTGGACTTGTGAGGTGGACCATTTTCTGCGAAGAAGTGTCCATTCATTGGGGCTGATTTTGAAGCATGCCCTATGATGACAGAAAAAGGAGAGAGAGGTGATTAGATTAATAAGAGATCAACACTCTTCTCCTCACCCCTGTGAAGGGCAGTTTCTTCAGCTTTCTGCCTAAGCTACTGGTGAAATACTTGACCGATGTATCCCGGAGAACACCCCTGTAACCACCAGAGGTGTAATTAGAGCCCAGAAGGTTAATGCACATGATCTGGTTCAAAGAACACATTATCTCGTCTATCTCACTGGGACATGTGCAGAGTACCCACCCACACATTTCAGGCAAATCTTGTGACGTGTGCAAAATTCACAGAAGATGAACAGTATATAATTTACATGAATACCATACTATGCCAGCCTTGCCACTTAAGAGATGTGACACTACAAGACATGCAAGGCATGGATAAGACACGGTCCTGACTGCTGGCACCATCCTGACACTGTGAGTGAATGGAGTAAGGCACACTGCCCCCTTGAATTTTATGAACATTTGTACATTTATACTACTGTCTACGTACCACTTTCAAACATGAATTTGGTTCTACGAAAGATTTGAGATTTTTGTCCAAAGTTTCAAAAAGTTAAATTTGTGTCTTAACTGGGATTAGAATGTAATTCTTGATTTTAAACGATCACAAGTTTACAAATAATTCTAGTTAGGAATCAAGGATTCTTCGGGCTGAGGGCTGGGGTACAATTTGTGAAAAATGTGTTATCATCCGAATATACTGCCACTAGGGGTCAGACTATTGTTGGAAATAGCTCAGGTCGTTTCCTCATTTTAAAAATAATGCTGGAGGACATGCTAATACTAATCCGGACCGCCAGCTTCCGCTTCAAATGTTTAGCTTTAGCTTCACTCAGATGTTCAGAATACCTACCAATAGATGTGAGCCGGTCCTGGGCGGTAGAGTTCAGACTGTAGGCCATGGTTATTGGATCGATATTTAAAAAGTTACTAGAAGAAAAAAAAAAATCCCACCTTGGTCATAAAGAAGGAAGCAATTTTATTATCCAATTAACAGCACAAATTTATCCAGATTACAGTGCACTGCATCCTTGACTTACTTTTCAAACTCATTTCGACTGCGCCAGCAGGCCTTCATGGTCCCCATGGCTTGGCCATTATGTAGAAATCCAGTTTTTAAAGGGGCTCTAATCTCCTGAGCAGCAACTCCTGCTGTTGACATTGTGCCTTATTCTGGGATGACTCCAAATGTGTGAAGTCTAAAGATTTGTAGTCAACCAGTAGCTTTCATTTCCTAGAAAGCAGAAGAGATAAAACAGAGTTAAAAATAACAGTTCAGAAATAACTCTGTTAGGATAGTCTAAATTACAGCATGAACAGCGGATATTTGACGATTTAGGGGATGCTGAGTAGAAAAAAAAAATTAGTTGCAGACTTTCATTTAATTCTTACATGTGTATTATATGTGATTCTTACTCTTAAGGGTACTTAAGTGTAGACACTAAGAAGATTTTTTTTTAAACACAACCTCAAATGTTGCAGCAAAGTGAGAAACCACCTACTGCCAGTGAAAGCAGTCCTCTTCATGCAGAGTCTGCCAGTTGCACAAGGAGGCATGCTCCCTTGCCAAAGCACACAAACCTCTCTCTAACCTCCTACTAACCAGCCTTCCAATGTATGGCTGTTTTGGGCACCAAGCACACGGGAAGCATAATTTTCCCACGCTAACATAAGCAAGATTGTAAATTATTATACTTTATACTGTAGAACTAATATTCACAGAAAACCCAACGCCCTGTAACTTAAACAAGGGATTTTATAATATTGGCACCTGATGACCACAGAGTCTAGATTTATCTGGATTTTTGTCTTTCAGGGTTGCGATGGGAAGACAAATTCTCTGGCTATTACTTGTTCAAGATAGGAACAGCTGTAGATAGAGACACTAATTTCTATTATCCTGTAAAGATCAAGTTCAGCAAGATTAGCTTTGGAGGAAGCCTGGCAACAACTTCCTCCCTCTTAAGAGACAAACTTATAAAAGTACATTCTTTACATCCTCCCTTGTGAATTGGCTAGTAATTCACACCTTACTTATCTGCTAGGCATGGATTACAAAACTTAAATAATTTTCTTAATCTAGTAGTTTCTAAATTTAAGGAATATCCACCCCTCCCCATCAAATGTTTAATGCTAGAGTCCCCATAGCTTCTTTTTAAGTTTTCAAATTAATTTTTGTATGTGTTTATTAGCATCAGTGATTAGAATAAGGCCATTCATTTCAGATAGTTTTAATTTATATTATGCTTAGTTCTTTTCCTTTTACAACATAGGATATTACACATCTATAGAATTATATACCCTCTACATAATTTTTGACTTCCCTTTTTTTATCTATCCCTGTAATACCAAACCTGATCCATCTATACACCTAGGTACCAAAGACTGAACAAAGGTATGTCTTCTCCAGTAGGACCAGAGATTATTTTTCAGTTTTTATTTTTTTATTGCTCAGCAACTTCCAATCTATTATTTACTAAGTTGTTATATTTCCTATGGACTGTGAGCTCCAGGAAGAGGCTATGTCCTAATCATCTTTTAATCACACGTGCCTGGAACATTAGTAGGTGCTCAACAAGTGAATGTTTGTTGAGTGAATGGTTGTATTGTTGTGTGTTGGAATCAACTCATAGCTGACCAGGTAATAAGTTTTCAGAGGCTTAGTTAATCTCATGAGGTGGGGTGTATGTATGAGAATGCCCATTGCCCATCCTTCTCCTGTGGAGCAACTGGTGGGTGGATTTGAACTATGTGCTTCTGTGTGCTGTAGTACAGCTTCTTACCACTAGACTACCAGAGTTGAGTGGTTGTATGTTATGTGCCATCAGGTTGCTTGCGATTCATAGTGACCCCCTATGTACAGAAACCCTGAAACCTACTCTATCCTGTGCCAACCTTATTGTCTCTGACACACCAACCCTCATTATCCCAGTCACTGAGTCAATCAATTTCATTGGGGGTTTTCCTCTCTTGCACCTATTACCATCATCCCTATCAACTAAGTGCATATAATGTGTAAGGCACAGGGTTTCTTTAACATAGAAAATATACTGTCAGTATTTATTAGTAACTCTTTCATGTTAAAAGGGGAGTTGGGCCCCAAATGATTCTGCTTTTTATTCTCCCAAAGTCAGCTTTGATATACCAGGCAGATTTTAAAATATTTTAAGTAGTCAAGCATTCTTTTTCTTTCAGTCTCAAAAATAATATAATCATTAATTGGAGGGGGGAAATGCCATCGTTTAAAACATTTAAGTATTAGAGGATCATGTTTTTGAGGGTTAGTTGTAGCCAATTATGAAAATAAAGCAAATGTCTGTTTCTTCATCTATTACTTTGCCAACACTATGTGAAGTTACACACATTTTAGAATACACATTTTTCCTTCCCTAATTGCTAGTTCTACCTTTGTATACTTAGCCCAGCAGTTTATCACGCCTTTTCCAAGCATCCTACAAGCACTGGCAAGACTATAGGGAAAGTATCTGTGGTAACATAAAAATGAAAGACAAGATAGGAAGAAGAATATGGTATTTAAGTAGTTTGAAAGCACACGTTTGAAGATTGCTCATCCAGATTACAGGAAAATGCTGTTGGGGGGGTGTAGGGGGGGTGGACTTTAGAAGCCCAACCCCCACCTGTCTGCAAGCCAACAAGTACTACTAGTAATTACTGTGTGTCAGCCTCCTAATGCCATCTAAATCTTAGCTTTCAACAGAATGATTGTGTAACCAATGCCTCTTCTGAAATTGCCCTGCAATTCTAAACTTACATTTCAATAGTCACTTAAAATTATTTACATGTTCTAGAAAAAGTTATTTTTTAATCATTGTTTCTATCACCTACTTGTTAGCTTTCTTCAGAAAAAAATTTTTTTTAGTATAAAAAGAATTGTGTTCACTAAGCCAGCTCACTTCTGACCACAATAGTGTCTTTGTGTATTCATAGAAGGTGACCTGCCTCTAAATTTCAATGGGGAATTGTGAATGGGCCATGTTATGAAACTGTCCGAACTTCCTACTTGCTTGCATGGGAGAAGTGAGGAGAGCAATATAATTGCATGTTCTCTTCTTCTGGAAAATAACTTCAAACTGTAGACTCAAAAAGGGGCAATGTGCCACAGGTTTGGAAGTTTTTAAATGTGTTCCTCAGAATATACACTGTGGTACAACGCCACCTGACAGGCGTAGATTTTTTTCAAAACCTTTTGAACCAACTTGAAACTTAAAAGCAGCACTATGCTAAAGTCAATTAATGCTTCAGTGTTTCAATTTGATCTGTTTCCCTATCTAAATAAATGCAGAAATAGCCCTGCCTTACAATTTATTAGGTAACAATTGCAAAATTAGACCTCCATGGGATTTTGAATATCTTAAAGAACAAGATGGTATTCTTTATGAAATAAAAAAAAAGAAAGAAAACAAACGTTTATCCAGACAGCATGGTTTAGACCAGGACTGAAATAACATTGGGCATCAAAACTTTTCTAGAATTCACTGTCAGTAATCTTCAGTTTTACAGAGTGCACGATTAAATACCAATCTGAGATGGGAACCACCTTTTCCTGTTAGCATACGTTTATTTATTTTTTTTAAATTCAAGGAAAAGAAAGGAAAAAAGAACCTCTAGACTATTTGTTTCTTGAGGTTATCCTTTTATTATTTTCTTTTCATATAATCCCTCCTCCTCAAGGTTTTAATCCACTTGTACAGCTTCAACTATACTTAGCTCCAGAATCAATGACTCCAGCCCTGGCTCAAACTTCAGTTTAGCATTTTCTATTGTCTGGTGATTATCTTTCCACTTGGATGGCCTTCTGGCATCTCAAACTCTACAAACCAAATGACTCCTATTCATTTTCTTCACTTCCTTCACCTCAAACCTGCGTGTAGGAGGATCATACTTCTCCTGAAAAGCACACTATTTTTTTGTTTTTAATATTGGCTTGCTTACAAAGTTCCTATACATTGTGTTTCACACTATTTATTCTTCATTCACATTGTGTTTCATAGGATCATTCCCATGCATTGTTTTACAAAAGTAATCTGAAAGTACATTTAGCCGATTCAATCAATTACCATGTTCCAGAATCCATTCCTACACTGTTTCTCAAATCTAGTTTCCTTCAATTCAATGGGCACCATTATGCGTTAGGCCTAGAATACCCAACCCATCCGACTTTGCAGGATCAGAACAATATTCCTAAAGTACCCAGATCAAGTCTTCAAAGACTCCTACAGAAATGAAAGGCTCCTGGTCCTTGCACTTAAGTCCTCCAAAGATGGACCCTTTTCTAGCTCTTAACTTCTCTTTCACCCAGAGATCTGGTAGAACTCAACTTCTATTTTTAAGACCATCTCTTATACTACCTTCTTCAGGAATTCTTTCCCTTCTAGTAAAAACCAGCACAGTGTTTTTATATTGTGTGTTCTTATTTCTTTCCCAGCCTTCAAATCTTTTCGAGGACAGCACTGTTGTCTGAATTGCTTTTCTCCTGTAGATCCTGTCCATCAGTTCCTAATATTTGGTAAGTGGACACTGAAAAAAAATGCTCTTTATTAAAAAACCAAAAATGACTAGCTGATAAAGCAAAGATTTCTAAGGATGAATGTAACATATGCTGGGAGACAGGATTGTCCAAAAAGAACTGTAGCAAGTTTAAGATATGTAATATGGAAGAAACGTTTACTTCCCAAAAGGTTTCACATTTGACAGCCTGCAGATTAATAAAATTTAGAAATGGAAATTATCAATGTAACTTTCTCAAGTGGTTCTATTACCAATAGGTGGTGCTTTCTGAAAAGAAAAAATTTGCTTTCCCTTACCCACTGCTCCCTGGATTACAATGCACCCACAGTGTTTTAAATTTGTGGTCCTTAAAAATAGCTTGAGTGGCACAAAATGTGAAGTGTTGAGTTGCTACCCTAAAGGTCAATAGTTCAAATCCATCAGTAGCTCCTCAGGAGAAACACGGGCAGTTACCTCCATAAAAGATTCACAGCTTTGGAAATTCAATGGCTGGCTGCTATCAGTCGGAACCCACTTAATGGCAGTGGGCTCTTTAAAGTTACAGCAAAAATCACACTGCGCATTCCGGTGCTTTAGCTCCAGAATAGTCTCGCTAAAGCTGTTTCAGAAGAAATCAGGCTGCCTGAAGACTGT